CATTTCTGTGTTTTTTTTTCTGTTGGGCAGACAGGAAGCCTGTGTCCATTCCTTATCTTTCCTGTGCTCTGTATTGCAGGGAATATTTCCTAGGTACAGGCTTTAGGTATGTTTGATCAAGGGGAGGCACTGGCAGAAGACTCAGGGAGGAGGAAAGAAGCCACAGTTCTCCTCAGGCGTGTCTTCTCCATGGCCGTGGCTTCCACGTGATAGACCCTGTCTTCATGGCCCCAGTTCTGCTGGTCAAGTCTGTGGTCAACTCCTTGCTGACTCCAGGTCCGATCAGAGGGCCTTGACTTTAGGCTTTGGTGGCTTTGCCTTCTTTCTTTGTCCCTCCTGCCTGCTGTTGATAATTTCGAGAGTACCTCACTATCCTCTGTTTGACTTCTTGGTCCTTCCATCACTGTGTGAACAATTCCCTCTGTTAAATTACTTCAGTTAAAGTAAAGATTGTACTTTGGTTAAAATAACTGGATTGGTTTCTGTTTTCCTGACTAAATTTTGAGTGATGCAAAGCCCAAACACACTTAATTGATTTAGTATTATTGTCTAAGAGCACTCGTTTTCACTGATCAGTATAACTGAGATCACTTATTTTTTATTCATAAAAGGAAAGTTGAAACACTCCTGCTTGATAAAACTTGGGGACTTGATTTCTGTTGCTTTGTTGTTTGAGGTGATTTCTCCCTCCATTCTCATTGACGTTTGTCATCCAAAGCAAAGAAGTGAACAAATTAAAGAAGACATGACTGAGAATCCCTAATATGAGTATTCTTTTGGATTATACTATTTTGGGAGGGGGGCAATTAAAGGTGTATGAATTGTGAAATTCATTTATTTGATGCTTACAACCCCATTACTGTTGTCACCTTAAAGGGGTGGCACATAGTAAGTTTTCAGTAAGTAAAGAAGCAGTATTTAATGCCTAACTAGAGATAAAAAGTACGTAGTAGTTTAGGGGAGGCAGAGACTAATTCTTAGGTAGAATGGACAAAGCTTTTTGCTTAGCCTTCCACCCTATCCCATGGAAATCTGCCAGTTCTTCAAAGTAGTGCTTTCTTTGCTTTCCATTGTCGGATTAGATTCTACTGGCTAATTAGGTCCAGAGGGAAGAGGCCATGCCTTGAAAATAACTCCTTCCTTTTAAGTAGGTGATGGTGATTAGTATAATATGATAATTATAATTGGTTCCATGAGGTAGCACCCAACGTGAAGAGTGGTTGACTTGCTGTCCTTGATTTCCTTGGGTGGCTACTGATGACATCACAGAGAGTTTTGTTAATATTAGAATTTCTGTGAGGATTAAATGAGACATGCTTGTAAAGGCACAGCCCAGTACCTGGTATATAATAAATGTGCAGTAATTGTTGACTATTTTTGTATTTATGATTATCATTGTCTGATCTTTACTGAGCACATACTTTGTGTTAAGCATCTGACATGCATTATTTCATTTAATCCTCATGAAAACTCCGTGAAATAGGAATTGTAATCCTCATTTCACAGATGAGAGAATTTGGGCTTGGAGTGGGTAGATGGCTTATTCATAAAGCAACTAAGTGGTAGGGCCAAAGTTTGAACCCATTCTTTTTGACTCTAAGCTTGTTTTCTTAAATCTTGCACTATCTGGATTCTCACGTTACTGACAGATTATTTAAAAATATGTTAAAAATAACATACAATAAGGATGCATTGGGGGTGTATTAGCATGGTGATTTAAGAAAAAGCTTTCAGATTGGGTCACACATTGTGTAAAGAGCTCTTGAGGGCAAGGCATGGTTAGAGAACAGAGAAATAAAGTACATTATATCAGTGAAAGGTGACTGAAACAATCTCACAAAATAGTGAGTCAAACATGTACATTGACCTGATGTAGGCTGAATGTGCACAAACTTGAGAGAGAAGATTAGGGGAGCCTGGGATAGGGAGTTCTTGACCTTTACCTGGTTCTGGCGATCAGATGTGGCATCTAGCAGATGCCTGGATTCCAGCCTTGGCTTTGCCTGTTTCTGCAGTGTGGCCTTGAGTAAGTTTCTTTACCTCTTTGAGCCGCAGTGTTCTCATGCATAAAAAGGAGATAGTGATAGCAATCTCACAGAAATACTGTGAAGGGCCTAGTACTGTTTCTGATTCAAGTGTATGTTCAGCCAATTTTAGTCCTTCAGTGTATATTGTGCAGAGTAATGTTAGTATACTTAAAACAAAAAAGCCCAGACAAACGCACAAATAGCTATTGAGCTTTCTCATTAAGCACGTGTAGATTTCCTGCAAGGTTCTCCCTACTCCATGATTCTTTGGTTAGCTGGCAAATGTGCAGAAGGAAATAACATGTACCTGCCACCACGAAATACCCAGAAGTCACCTTTGGAGAAGACCAGCACTTCCAAGAACAAAGAAAGACACAAAGTTCAAAGAAGAAAAGCTCTATGATTGGCCGGTTGTCTGTTCTGAACTCTGAATGATGAAAGGGGTTCTGTGATTATTTAGTGAATTGATTAAGTTTGTGTGAAATCAGAGTTCCTAAATCACCTCCAGATGAGGTTGATGAGGACAGAGGAGAGAGAGCAGCTATAATGGGTGGACGAGGGTGGGAGTAGGGTCCACACATTCCCTGGGCTTAAGAAGTCCTGCAGGCCAGTTGAAGATTGAGCACCTGGGGTCCAGTTTTCCGTGGGGCTGGATAAGCCATCTACTATCTAGTCTCCAAATGCCTGGAGTGACTCTGAGCTTGAGGCCCAGCAGTCTCATCCTAGCATCTTCTTTTCTGCTGTCTATAATTGACCAAACTTTGAGTCAGGGTGCTCTTCGGTTTATGAAATAGTATTCCAGAAGAGATTTTCTAGACATCCAATCCATCGGAAATGCAAAAATCTAAGGCCTTCTAGCTTGTTACAATATGTTAAACCCATTTAAAAATGGTTGGTGCATTTTATTCTAGAAAGCCGTTTCTCCTTAATCTTGTAAAACAGTGTAATTGCTTTGGCAAGACTTTCCTGTGAAGGAAATGGAAACATGGTGTGATGCAGTAACATTTTCTGAGTTGTAAGAGGAACCAGTGTTTAACGTGAGTGATAAAGAGGAAGGGAAGGGTAAGGTGGCAATTTCTGGGTTACCCAAGGGCCAGTTTCTGGGATGGTAACCCCAAGAGACAGGCAGTATTCACACATGGTAACACAGGCCCTTTGTATACCTGGATAGGTTTGGGATTCTGCTAAAAGTGAAACAGTATGAGAAGTGAAAAAATTAAGTGTTAGATCTAACGGAAAAAACATTCCAGTTGGAGTCTTGAGAGTGCTGTTTGGGTGTTAATTCTACCACCAGCTGTGTGACCTTTTTAGTTTCCTCATCTGAGTAATGCTGCTAATACATCCCATGATTTCTGTGGGGAATGACTAAGATAATACACGTGAAGGTTGTTTTGCAGACTGTTAAAATGCTTCACAAATGTTTGGGTATATACCCGAATGTGTATTTATACTCTGATGATATTAATGCATTGGTATTTTATTCTGCATCTTTAAGCAAGTGATTGTATTTGCAAACTGTGGTACATCAAAATCAGTATACTTGTAGATGGGGAAATTTCCTGCTCCAGTGGCAAAAATACTGACTTGAGGGTTAGAAGAACTCAAGTTTTATTTCAACTACTTTGTATGTAATCTGGAGAACTATGATCAGGTTTTTTAAAAAAGGTGAACCATTCGCTGGAAGAAAGGGATGCTGGAAGCTGGGTATATAATGAGTAATATTTTTGTTGCATCTCAGATGTTAAGATCCTACTCTGTGGTATTTAGGGGCAGTGGTGGTTCAGTGGTAGAATTCTCAGCTTCCAATGTGGGAGATCCAGGTTCGACTCCTGGCCAATGCATCTCATGAACAGCTACCACCCATCTGTCAGTGGAAGCTTGCGTGTTGCTTTGATGCTGAACAGATTTCATCAGAGCTTCCAGACTAAGACAGATTAAGAGGAAAGGCCTGGCGATCTACTTCTGAAAATCAGCCAATGAAAATTCTATAGATTACAATGACCCGATCCCCCGCCAATCTTGGGGATAGCGCAGGACCAGGAAGTGTTTTGTTCTGTTGTGCATGGGGTCGCCACGAGGTGGGGAGCAACTTGACAGCAGCTAACAACAACAACATATTGTACCAGATTTCTGATTGTCAGTTGTTCCAGTGTTGATGTGCCCCTCATTCTGGATGTGCAGTGGATAGACACCGCAGGTGGTGAGGTGTCTCCTGTACGGGCAGCTCCCACCTCTGCATGAGCCACGGTGCCAGGGGCCACTGGTGCCTTTGAAGAGGGAACTAAGCTTTCTTTTTGTACTTACTCCTCATTCAGCAGTGTCTTGTTATGGTGTCCATCTGGGAATGATACACCCTTGTATCATCAGGAACCTTTGGGATGTGCAGAGACTGGGCCATGGCTTGGGCTGCTGGTTGCTGATTTTCTGATGGAATTGGCTAGTAAGAGGCCTTTCACCAGAACCATATGCCCAAGAGGTCTCTGGAGGAGGGCTCATGGCTGAGTCTCTCTCTTCTTTATTTCTCTGTTTCTTTCTCTTCCTCACATTTTCATCTCTTTGTGTTTCACTTTCTAGGTTTGCTCTCTCCTTTCACTTCTTTCTTTCCTTCCTTTTTTCCTCTCTTCCACCCTCACTTTCTTTTGTTCTCACTATGAGAGGTTAAAAGGTCTGCCTGATAAGGTGAACTGATGATTCTTCTGGACTCTGGCCTGAGTGCTCCCATTCAGGGTTGCCACATTTATCCTTCTCAGGCTGCAACGTGTATGAGTTTTTAGTGACTACTCTGTTGAGATGAGTTTATGTGAGTGTGAAAAGGGTACTCCCTGGGCAGCTCGAGACTTTTTAATCATCATATTTTTTAGTAAACCCAGAAGCTGGGTGGCCTTCACCAGGGAGCTCTGTTAAGCTTTAATCTCTGTTCGTGGACCTATCCTTCCTCTATGATTTCAAAGGTTATTCCCTTTCTGATTGTAGATTGAGGAAACTCGGCTCAACATTGACAAGATTTCAGAGCATGTGGAGGAAGCGAAGAAACTCTACAGCATCATTCTCTCTGCACCCATTCCAGAGCCAAGTGAGTGTTTAGTCAGAGTGAGCCACCCAATGATGGCTTTGCACTGGGGCCAAGCCAGTCTTTTTTTCTCGCCTCCGTGAGCAGCAGGGGAATGTACGTGTTATATTACACTATGTACACGTCATGTTATCTCCCATCTCCTTTACTCTATCTGAGCTCACACTGCCTGGCCCCAAGTCAGCTCTTCTCTTCATGGTCCCACTTGAACCATTTAGACAGAATTTTTCTCTACTTCCCAGCTAGTGTCTGTCATGACTAGCAGTGACTCTTAGACTGCTTCTCAGATACGCCATGCTGTCTTGCCTCTGCCTTTGCTCATCTATTTCTCTTGCCTGAATTGCTTTCCAGCCCCTTTTTCAAATCCTACCCATCCTTCACAACCCTGGTCAAGTCCCATTTTTTCCATGGTGTTCCAGAATGGTTCAGGTACAGCAATCCCTCCCATCCCTAAACTCCTGTTATCCCCACTGAGGCAAACTTTTTTTTTTTTTCTCTCATTGTTCCATACTTTCAGAGTAGGGTTTAGGCCTCATTTTAGGTTCCTTTATGACAGGTTTCAATCCTGATCTTGTTATTTCGTTTCTTAAATTCGTCAATGGCTCCCTATTACCTAAAGATTAAAGTTGAAACATTAGCAAAGCATTTGAGAATTGTCTTGGTCACATTCCTGCCTTTCTCTCCATCCTTTTCCCCTGCCATTCTCTCCCATCTTACCTATGCTTAAACCAGATGAAACGCCAGTTTTTCTCCAAACCCTTCTTATTCCTTCCTTTCTTTTACATGTTGTTCCTTTTCTCTGAGACGCCTGCTCTATGTCTCCTTCTCTACCTGGCTAACTCTTAGTCATTCTCTGAGACTCAGTCCTACTATCATGTTTCTAGAAGCCTTTTCAGCTCCCTCCAGGCTGTGCTAGGGGACACTTCATAACCACCTGTGCACACCTTGACCAGAACGCATACCTTACTCCACACTGTGTGTTAGAATTGCGGCTTTATGTCTCTTGTTCCCGACTAGGCCCTGAACACCTTGGAGGCAGCATCTTTGTCTTCTCTCTGATCCCTTGGTTTCTAGCTCAGTGTAGTAGCTGGTGCCCAAGGGAAAGTTTGGGAAAGAACGGCCAGAGCTAATACCTGTTTTGCTCCATAAATCCTAGGACACCATTGGGCTTATAGTAGCTTGATTCTTAGGTTGATGAATCTTGTTGAGAATCTCTTTTCCCCAGAAGTGCCACTTAACCCTTCCCTCCCTTCTGAGCTAAAGCCCTCATGGTAAACCAGATTGTTTCCTCTGAAAGCAGGGTTCTCAAACTTTTGTGTGCTGGAGAATTACTCAGGAGGGCTTGTTAAAAAGGTAGCTTCTCAGGCTCCAGCCTTGGGTGTTGTTATTCTCTAGGTTGGGGGTGGGGGACCTGAAAATACCTTTGCAAAATAAGCTCCATGTGTGATTCTAGTGACTGATGTCTGGGGGGCACAGCTAAGAAACACTGCTCTGGGGTGTGGGTGCCAGAGAAAGCTCCTCATCTCCTGTCTTGATTGCTATAGCACACATAGTGTTTAGTCCTCTCTTTTCTAATGGATTCTGCCTGCCTTTGTTTACCCAGAAACCAAGGATGACCTAGAGCAGCTCACGACTGAGATCAAGAAAAGGGCCAACAAAGTCCGAAACAAGCTGAAGAGTAAGAAGGGGACAAAGGGAAC